GCGGGTGGCGGGCACGCTGGCCGCGGGGGGAGGCGGTGTCCGCCGGTGCCCGGCTCTGAGGCGGCGAGCCACGGGGGCTGCACCTTAGGCTGTGCTTCCGCTGAGCGACCTTGTCTCCCTCTGCCCCCGCAGGTTGGGCAGCCCCCTTCCCGAAGCTCCTGGAGAAAAGGCCCCGGGTGTCCCCCGGCATGCCCCATCTCGTGGCGGGGTGCGCGGCCGCGGGCCTTCGGGAGAATTTGTGCGACCCCCGGAGGCCCCAGGGACGAGTGGCCGCGGTGGTGCGGCGGTTGTAAGCAAGATGCGGTGGCGCGTGACCCCGGAAAGCCAGCCCTGATGCCGGTTCCCCGCCACCCGTGCGCCCTTTTCTCTGACACTTGGCCCCAAGCAGATGCATCGCAGGTGAGGAGCTGGTGGGCTGGGCGCGGGTGACGTCTTGGGGAAACATCTGGCAAGTAAAGTTAGGGGTGCCGTTGCTTTTGTTGCCTTTGGGGAGGTTGCAAGGGGTGTTTGCTAGTACGTTGGTTCCAAAGGGAACGAGGAATTTCAGAAACTGGTGCTGGGTTGAGGCTCCTCTAATTCAACCTAAGTTGCTCCAAGTGTGACTAGTTGTTCCAAATTGCCCTCGTGAGTGGCTGGCAGACACCTTTCCCCTGTGCTTTTGAGTTATTTAAGCCTCAGATGGTATCTTTGTCTGGGTTCCAAAGTGTATTTCTAGTTTCGTGGTGTGTTGCACTGTGAATTTTGTTGTTGACCATTTAGCTGGCATGGTGATGTAGAGATTTTTCTGTCCTTAATTCCGCGGGCTCCGTGCTAACCTTTCAGGTACTTTACAGTCCATGTCAGGACAGCACAGCCTTATGCCAAGTAAATAATTATGTTTGGCCACCCTTTCAGGGTTCTTTCATCGGCCGTATATTTACGGTAAGGAAAATAAAAATTCGTTGGAACTGCCTAGCTCACCCTTGCATTTTGGTTAGCTGTTTCAGTGTCATTCCAAGAAAGCTATACAGCAGCAGCCACACGAGTTCCTACTTAGTTCAGTTAGGTCGGCTCTAGAAGTGTGAAGGAAACTATGCACTGCCAGGAAGTAGGGGACAGAGCATGGTGCGGTGGGCCTGAACCCAGAACTTCACCCCTGCCTTCGAAGCCACTACATTCCTCAGGACCATGGTGACAGGTTACCTGATGCTCAGTAGGCTTCGTCTGTTCCTATAGAGGATGCTGATAACATTCATCCCTGAAGAACACCCCAGGGTGAAAAAACTCCCTGCTCCTGCATGTTCCCACGGCCCTTCCTTTCTTGTATAATCTCCCTTGACTGGCCACTGGCGAGGGAACCTTTTCTGCGTACAGGCCGGGAGGACCTCCCAAAGTGGTGCCCCTTGCTAGTAAAAGGCTTTCTTTGGAGAAACAACCTGTGGCTCAGAGCCTGGCTTTCTGAGCACCACACTGGTGATGTGACCAGTGATAACAGTGCCTTGATTCTGGGCCTCCTCTCCCCAAGACTGCTTTCTGGAATCCCATCTGACAGTAGTTACAGAATTGCACTTTAGGATGAGAAAATCTAACAAGGCTTATCGGGCAAATTTCTTTTATCTGTCTTCTCTTTGTGGGATACCAGTTACCTTTCTTTGGTTTGTGGCTGCTGAGGTCACCACACTTTAGGGACTGACAACAAATCTGCTGAGCCTGTCACATTAAACTCTGGTTTGAACTGGTTTGAGAAGGCCTGGGAGTCAACTCAGAAACTGTTTTGATCTTTATCTCTAGTCTAGTAAACAGATTGATACTCAGGAGTTTTCAGACTGGGGTTTGATACAGAACTGGGGAACAGGCCAGAGGCACAGGGGTGGTAAGAGAATTCAGGAGACAGAGTGGGGAGCAGAACAGACAGATGGACTGAAACACTGCTGAGGGGAGCAGTGGGCGGGTCAGGAGAGGTCTGCTGTGTCCTGAGGGTCAGCTCCCCGACTCCTGCCCCCTCACCATCTGGGAATTGAACTCGTGCTGAAAAGGCTGCAGCCAGCTTTGCTTCAACACCTTACACCACCAGGGAGAGCCCTGCTATAGACTTAATTGTACTTTGAAAGAATTATTGAAACCAGTTTGTTGTAGATCAGTACTACAGGCAGTGATTGTAGAGTTTTAGTTATGTTTGTAGATACAAAAAGTTTCAGGGAATCCTCCCTGGTGGCATAACAGGTTAAAGCACAGCACTATGAAGCTGTCAAGCCACTGCAGCCCAAGTTCGACCCCTGGCCAGGGAGGTGACCCACATGGTGTGGCAGACCTCTCCTGGCCAGCCTGCTGCTCCCCTTAGCAATGTATTACAGTACATCTGCCTGTTCTGCTCCATACTCTTGTCTCTGGTGAATCCCCTTGCCCCTCATACTGCTGGCCTGTACCCCAGTTCTGAATGCATAAAAATAAATAAATCTTTAAAAAAATAAAAAGTTTCAGGACAAGTATGCTTTAAACCAACTCAAACCCATAAACTTTAAAAATTAATGTAGGAGTCTCTCTTTAGACTATAAGGGTTTTGCGTTCTTTTATACTATAATTAACTACTGTTATTAATGTGCTATGCTTTATAAGATATACTGCATTGCCAGATGCATTGAGTTGTCTTTTCTGGTGAGGCTGAGTCTGAATTGCCCCATTCAATCGAATATTTCAGAGTGCATCCACAGAAGATGACAGATTCAGGTGGCCTTGTGTATTTTATGAATACCTGGGAGTTTAGTTTTATGAGATACCCAGCCAGGGAGAATGCTGAAGACTGTTGATACAGAAAACTGCAGAACAGGTCTCTGAAACTATAAACATACTCCAGATATAAATACACTATTTAGTATATGGGAGCTGTATAAAAGGCACAGGTTTTTTTTTTGTTTTTGTTTTTTGCTAATCAGCTTTTTCTAGTTGTAATTAAGAGCTTGGATTTCTTAAATTAAGTAGACCTGGGTTTAAATTCTCATTACGCAGCTTGTTATTTTCTTGAAGCAGACCTGAGTTTAAATTCCAACTCTGCCACTTACTAATCTTGGATTGAGTTTTTTAGTTTATGTGTCTTATTTTTTTCATCTCTAAAATGGGATTAAGGATAGTACCAACCTTACAGTAGTTACAAAGATTCGGTGAGATAATTACAGGCAAGACACTTAACCCGACGCCTGACGCAAGTACTAAGCGAGTAACAAGAATCGACTCTCACTTTCCAGGCGACTGATCAGCGGCAGCGCCATTTTTCAGAAATAAGCTTACCTGGGTTTGCCTCTCTGCTAAGGACCTGTGGGCCTCCTGGACTCCCTCCCCTCCCCTCCCCCTCAACACGCGCAGCAACAGCGTGGGCTCCGCGGGGTCTCCGGCTGGAGGCCATTCGAGCCCTTGGTCTCGCCTGTGGCTGGCTCTTGCAGCTTGCAGTCCTTGTAATATGATGGTGTGTTCTGAGAAGGTGTCAGCGCTTACTGAGAGCAGCCTGTCAATGCTTGTTCAAATCGGTTTCCTTCTTAACACCAATGACACTGTTAACGGCAGTACAAGATAGAATAGAGAAACGGAGACTCTTAGATTCTTCAGTGTGCAAGAGTGGTCTATAGATTAAAAAATGTTTGGGGTATATTGAAAACTTTGATAATATTTTGCATCATGATGTGTTCTTCCTCTTGTGATGTAGGTTTTATCTCATGCCTTTGTTGAGCTGCAGTGTCCTCTGCCTTATTTTGAAGAATTGCTAAAATATGAAGGAATGTTTAAATAAATTTTCTAGCAAAGCTTCATGACCTGGATATGTGGAGGATAATAGATTATTGATTAGTTATTAAGATATTGATGCAGAATTTTTAAAAAAGATTTATGCTTACAGAACTGGGGTACAGGCCAGAGGTGT